AGGAGCCCCCCACCCCCTCCGAAGGCTCGTCACTTCCACTGAGCCAAAGTGGGGACAGTGTGTGTGTGTGTGTGTGTGTGTGTGTGTGTGTGTGTGTGTGTGAGAATCTGCCTCTCCACCTCCCCCAGGGATGACTCCCAGCACCCCCGAATCACTGACTTTGCTTGAGGAGGGCACTGGATGTGAGGAGGGGAAGAGCCAGGAGGGACTCGGCGTGTCAGAGCCACCTCCCCAGAACGACAGAAGCCACGCAGCCCTGTGGCACACACGCCTCTTGTCACGGCACATCTAACACTGACACTGGCTCCGTGCAGGTGAGCATGCACGCGGGTGTACACACACACACACACACACACACACACACACACACAATGCCACGTGCCAGGCAGACCTCTGCCCACCACTACCTCAGCCACCACCATCACAGCACACACCCCACCTCCCTCGCTCGGAAAGCGCCCCACAGGAAATGGAGCACAGGAGGTGAGGCGCCACCGCCCTGGGCACACCCTGGGCAGCAGAGGCGTGGGGGCAGGGGCTGTCAGGAATTCTGAAAGGATGCCCCCCTGCCGCTCTCCCCAAACAGGCCCCCCTCCCCCAGACTGTCCCCTCTTCAGCGGCTCAGTCCCTGTGCTCCATGCTCACAGCCAGGGCAGGAGGACAGCACCCAGGGCCTGGAAAGGGGGCGGCCTGGCCTGGGCGCATGTCGGAGTCAGGACCTCTCGGGGGCCTCTGTCGCAGCTGCCCAACACCCCCCATTGCCCCCGATGCCAGGCTGGGCCAGGGTGGGCAGGAACGAAACCTGTGCCAGGACAACCAGGGAATAGAGGGACCACCCCCCAGAAGGGACCCAAGAGCCCAGGGTAGGGGCCCCGCCTGGCCCCACAAGAAACGAAGCAGTGGGCCTGAGAAGCACCTGGCTCCGGGGCCAGCAAGGGACACAGTCAGGGCCGCAGGAGCCCCCGATCCTCCCAGGAAGGAGCAAGAAGACAGCCCAGGTGGGGCAGGTGGGTGAGCAGCTTCTCCCTCGAGGCCGCCAGGGACCCCAGCTCGGTAGAAACTCCTCTGTGAGTCCCTCAGACCAGAGGCCACTCCTGGGGCCCACAGTCACCCGCTTGTCACCTGTTCCCTGGTCCTGGAGACCCACGTGTCGAGCAGCAGCTCCAGGCGGGAGCGGTGGAAGGCCCGGGTTGTCTTGACTGCGATGAAGACGTCGTGCAGCTGCAGCTCCGGGGGACGAGGGCTTGGCGGGCTCAGCCCGGGGGTCTCCGGCACGCCCTGCGGGGATGGGCTTGCGTAGTACCGTAGGGAGAGGAGCCCCATGCACAGAAGGGTGAGGAGGACTCCAGCCAGGCCCCGGAGGAGCCGGCACTGCATTGGCCCTGGGACCCCAGATGGCTCAGCCCCCAAATCCCAATCAGACGGGGAGGGGAGGCTGGTCAGGCGGGAGCCCCGGCAAAGGCAAAGGTCTGCCAGGCATGGGGGCCAGGCCAGGAGGGGAGAGGTGGGAGTCGGTGCTCTGGACCCGGAGGCCGAGCCATGGCAGCCCCGCTGCCGCCGCCGCCGCCAGCCCTCCACCTGCTCCCGGGCCCGCCCTCCCACTGCCGGCTCTGGGGCGCCTGGCCCCGCCCCCTGCCTCCAGGGCAGCCCAGGGGCGGGGCCGGCCCAGGGGATCCCAGAGGTGGCTGAAAAAGTGTCACCGGCAGAAGGGACAGCCCGGCCCTGCCAGCTGCTGCAGGGGGGGGTGGGGGCAACAACAACCCCTCCATGCCAGATGGAAGGGAGGGGCCCTCCAGCCTTCCCACTCCCCAGCGACCCCCGGCTAAGCTCATTCAATACCCAGTATCTTCTGGTGTCCAGCCTCCCAGCTTTTGCTCACGCTGTCCCTCGCCCTGGATGCTCTTCCCCAGCCGCCACCATCCTCACCCACGTTCCTTCCACCAGGCTTAATTCTATTTGGACTTCAAGGCTCAGCTCAAGGGTTCCCTCCTCCAGGAAGCCTCCCAGCCTCTGGGGCTCCCACAGTAGTTAGCTCAGCTCCTCTGGTCTTCACAACAGTGTTAGAATTATTTCCAGTTCATAGCTGGGCACATAAGGTTCAGAATGATCTAAGATGATCCAGCAGCTCAGCCACAGAGCCAGGTAGAACCCAGGTCGCTGGCCCTCATCTGGCCCACCAGAGGCCCCTGAGGGTGCCTGTCCTGCTGTGGCCCAGTGCAGCCCATCTTGCTCAGCAGTCTTTATTGCTGCCTCTCTCCCAGCCAGGCCAGTGGACAGGACCTTCTGCAGCTACCACCTCCGTCTTGTTTTGTACAAGGTCACTCATATCTTGTCCTCCCTCCGCTAGAACCCTGATGGCTCCCATCTCCCTCAGAACAAAAGTCAAAGATCAGACACCAGCCTACAGGCCCTGTGTAAAGGGGGCCCTGTTACCTCCAACCCCATCTCCTACCATCTTCCCCTTGCTTCTTCACTCCAGACCCAGTGGGCTTCTGGCCAGTTCAGGGACACACCCACCTCAGGACTTTTGCACATGCTGTTCCTGCCTGGGTCTCTCCCTAGAGATCCATACACCTCACCCTCACCTCTTTCAAGTTTACACAAAAATGTCTTCTATATGAAGCCTTCCCAGACCACTTTATTTAAATTGGAATCCCTTCTCCCCCGTCCTTCGCAGCAGGCCCCTTTTTCTGCTGTGTTTTCTCCATAGCACTTTTCATCTTCCAACATCCTGTCTACTTTAGTTATTGTCTGTCTTCCTCATGAGAATATCAGAGCAGGGATTTCTGTTTATTCACTGAATCCCCAGTGCCTAGAACAGTGCCTGGGACATGGTAGGAGCTCAATCAATATTTGTTAATTAAACACAAGAAAGTACCAGATAGCTGGTGAATTGCATTAGCCCCATAGAGGGAGAGGAAAGGAAAAGCAACCCTTTTGAGTCACCGTTCTATGGGCCAGCCCTGTGCCAGGTCCCTTCACAGCCTGTCTTCTCAGAATGGCATCACCAAGGGATGAGCCCATGCTTCATGCCACACAAACCAGGGCTCGAATCCTGATTGGGGCACTCCCTAGCTGTGTGACTCTGGGCAAGTTACTTCACCTCTCTGAACTTTACTTTCATTTGTCAGATGGGGACAAAAATAAGACTTGGTGAAAATTAAAGGATTGGTGGGCTTCTCCACCCCCATAGAAAGGGCACCTAAGATGGGACCAGCTGCTGGGCTCTTGCATCTTCACCCAGACTCATATGTCCATAGACCAAGCACTAGGCCAGGCACACAGCAAGCAAGTGGGGAGGTTTGTTTACCCAAATGAGCATGACCCAGTCTCCACAGCGAGGGAGCCCAGAGCCACCCACAGAGACCCACCATCCTGCCACAAAGCAGAGCATGGCGTGGCCCAGGAGAATTCCCAAGGGCCGGGAGAATCAGGCAGGCTTTGCGGAGTTGGCGTCTGAGCCTGACCTCAAATTTAGGCAGCCCCCGACCCCTGGACTTGGACTTCTCAGCCTCATTTCCCACCACTCCCCAGGTGGCCAACCTCAACCCATTTTCTGCCTCTGAGCCTTTGCTCTTGAGGCTCCCTCCACCTAGTACACCGACTCCCCCTAAACCTCCCAGGAGCCTCTGCCCAAATTCATCACTGCCACTGAGGACAGTCACAGGACGACCAAGAACATATAGGCGTGTAAGTCCAATAGGTGCTTCCTGAGGAAAGGAATCCTACAATGCAAGCTCAAGCAGCACCTCCTACAGTAAGTCCACCTAGATTTCTCCCATTGGAGGTGACCATCCTGTCCAGTGAAGCAGTTTCAGGGACCTGGTAATACACTGAGGGTTTGCCCTTAGTCCCCTGGATTCAGCAGCTGGGCCCCTTAGCCTAAGACCACAGCCTGCTGGCTTGGCATCCTCACTCCAGGGGACACTCCTTTGATGATCAGACACGAGCAGAGCTGAGCGCAGGGGTGGCCCATCTGTGGGGCCCTCCTCCAGTCATTCCGGGCCAGGTAAGGTGATGCCAGCACAGATGGCAGGCAGCTCCGGGATGAGTCGGGAGCGAAATCTGACCCTCCCCACGGGAGAGTGGGAACCTGAAAGGTGGTATCAACCTGAGCTCGTGGTGGCCACAAGTCGGGGGATGGAAAGGGGGCCCCGGGCCAGGGATGCAAGCAAGCAAAAGGCCATCAGCTTCTATGACAAACTGTTTAATGCTCCATAATGTGCAGCTTCTAAGTGAAAAAGGCCCGTTAAAAATCTACGAGCTGTACATTCTGGTAACGGGGCAGCCGGCCCCCTCCCCGGCCTTCCCTCCGGGAGGCAGGGCAGGGTACAGGCGCCGTGAGAACATGGTCCTGGGCGTGCTCACCAGGAACACACGCGGGTCAGTGCCCAAGGGTCACGGGGGTGGGGGCATGATATTTACACAGGGGAGAACCACGGACACACATGTGACCGGAAGACACGAGGGGCACAGGTGACAGTGGACCCGGGAAGCCACAATGCCCCCGTGGAGGTATACACAAGAGATGTGAGCTGGACGGGTGGGCACCACTCATGATGGGCTCAGGGCTCCTGTGAGCTGAAGGGGCTGTGGAGCCCAGAGACCTCGTGTGCCAGGGGGAGGGGCAGACGCGAGCCAGCCCCATGGGAACTTGGGTGTGCAAACCAGTGCACAGGGGTGAGAATGCAGATGCTCCAAGGTGAGCGACGAAGAAGGGGACACAGACGTGTGCATGAGACCCACGAGACGGGTCCGTGGAGACACGGGGCCACGGGAAGGCCCAGAGCAGCAAGTACAGGGATGGGAGGGAGCTCTGCCCCGGGGGCTCCTCCGGGTGAGAGAGCCCGGAGCCCAGAGCCAAGGGCCCCACGTCGAGCATCTCAAGGTCTGGGAAGGCTCAGGATGGGGAGGACCCAGCTCCACTGCACACACCAGGGTCCCCGCTGGGGGCCGTTTCTGAAGTGCGTGAGGAACGCACAGGCATCGGAGGGGACTCCTCAGGCCTCGCTGCTGCTGCCACTGCCGCCTCTGCCACTGCCACGCTCCACCCACACGAGGCGGGCCTGCTCCTGCAGGATGCGGCCACGCACCACCTTGGCCAGCTCCTCTGAGTGGCCCCACTCGTGGGCCGCCACCTGCACCCAGGAGCAGGGCAGCCCCCAGAGCACCTGCTCCGAGCCTCGGCATTGCCGCAGCAGCTCTGAGTCCCGCCAGCCCGGCCGGCCCAGCAGACCCCTGCCAAGAGAGAGGAAGGTGGGCGGCGGTCAGAGTGGGGGATAAAGATGGACAGTGAGACAGAGAGAGAGGGACAGACTAAGATAGGAGAGTCAGAGAGAGAGGACGGACAGCGGGAGACAGAGAGAGAGACACAGGCACCCAAAGAGGAGGGAGCGCTCGGGTCCTTCCCATCCTCCTGGCCCATCTCACCTGACTTCCCGGACATTCTTCTCAGTCACCTCCACGTGGATGACGATGGGGTAGATCTCGTTGTGGACCAGCTCCCGCACGCCCCGAGCACCCAGCTCCAACAGGCAGTGTTTCTTCTCCGGGGGTCAAGACGACATTTTACTCTCAGGCCAGAGACCCTAAGCTCCCTGCCCCCTGACTGGGCCCCATAACACAGCCCCCTACAGGGTCCTGCTTCTGCGTCCAGGGGGACCTTGGCAACAAGGAAAGAACTGGAGGGGGAGGGCCAAGACACAGGGAAATAAGTCACTTCCCCCCACTGGACCTCAGCCTCCCTATCTGTAGGATGGAGCTGACGCGGGCAGTCCCAGCTCCCAGGGAAGAGGCAAGTTTGAAGGCAAAGACAAACAGGTGAGATGTATCAGCCAAACTCTCCAGGGTGACCCACATGAGGTCGACTGCCCCAGGCCACCCATCTCACAGGTGAAGAAACAGGCCCACGGAAGGGAAGGGACTTGCCCAGGGTCACTCTGCAACTGAGCGGCACAGGCGTGCACTCAGACTCTGCTCTTGGGCCCAGAGGGCACCCCCCGGCCCCACCACAAGCACCTACCTTCCCGACAGACTCCTGGATGGCACGGATCCTGCTGCCCAGCCCAGGGGTGGCAGGTCGGGCCTTGGGGGCTCCGGGCGCTGACGATGTGCACTGTTCCTCCCCAGAGAGGCTTTCTGCAGGCAGGGAAAGGCAGGAACGAAGGGCCAGTGGGCCTGGCTGCCCCAGGGTGCCACCCAGCCCTCCCCTCTCCAGGCGTGCAGGCTCACCTGCTGGGCACACTTGGAAGTCCAGCCGGGAACTGGGCAGGTCTAGGAGGTTGCGGATGAGCCGGGGCGCCAGGCATTCAGGCAAGAGCACCACGGGCCGCAGGGCAGAAACCAGCAGGGGCCGTACCAGGCTATAGGGTTTGAGGCTCGGCTCTGGCTCTGGGCAGGGAAGGGGGTGTGAAGAGATGGGGGTGCAGGCTGGGCCCCAGCCCCTCTTTCCTGGGGCAGCCAGTCCCCTTGATGCTCTCAAGGCCCCTAACTTTTTTCCCTTCCTAAGCCCTGCTGCTCCTCCTACACACAGCAGAGCTGCCCCCTCCCTCGCTGGGGCCTGGGACCCTCGCAGGAGGCACCACCCCATCCCTTGCCTCACCCTTGCCCCCTACAGGCCATTATCCTCTCAGCAGCTGCAGGGACGCTTTAAAACTGAGGTCAGATCCTGTAAGTCCCCTGCTTTCAACACACCAGTGACTCCCCACAGCTCTCAGGAAGAAAGCCACACCCTCCACGTGGGTAAGCCAGCCCTGTCGGGGCCGGAGAAGCAGCGAGCCACGTGGCCCCGCACAACAGACTCCATTCCTGCCTCACAGCTCAGCAGCTCTAGTCACAGGGCCTTTGCATGCCCCGGGGTGGCCCAGTTAACTCTCCTTTCAGAGCCCAGGTCATGCTTTCCCAGGTCCCCAGGGGGGCGGGGGCCCCCTCCCCCTCCCCCCTCCCCTCTCCCCTCTCTCCTCACTGCCACACACATGACAGAGTTATGCACTTGCTGCACTCAGTGTCCTCCAAACACAGTACGTGCAGCCATGCCTCTGAGCCTTCGCACAAGCTGTGCCTTCTGCCTGACACAAACTCCTCTTCATCCGTGAAGGCCCCAGTTCAAACCACCTCCCTTCCAGGAAGTCTTCCCTAACCACCCTCTCCTCCTTGCCCCTCAGAATTGCTATTCCCTCATCCGGGCTCCCCCAGCCCCTCTTCGCTTCTCTGGCCCAAGGCCTCACCCTCCTGCCTCCAGAAACTCCCTCTGGGGTCGTCATGGCACCTGCCACCACACAAAGGCAAGAAACACAGCTACGCGTGCTTTGCCAGATAAGGAGAGGCCCGTGCTCGTGCGTGCCCTAAACTCACCCAGACCCACAGTCACACCTGGACATAGACAGCTCCCTCAACCCTGGTGGCCCATCTCCCACCAGGCCCCTGGCATGGGCCCTGCCCCCCACCGGAACCCAGGCCCTTCCAGGACAAAGGGACCACCAAGGCCAAGGACACCCAGATGTGCACACTCCTAAGAGATGGGGGTGCAGGCTGGGCCCCAGCCCCTCTTTCCTGGGGCAGCCAGTCCCCTTGATGCTCTCAAGGCCCCTAACTTTTTTCCCTTCCTAAGCCCTGCTGCTCCTCCTACACACAGCAGAGCTGCCCCCTCCCTCGCTGGGGCCTGGGACCCTCGCAGGAGGCACCACCCCATCCCTTGCCTCACCCTTGCCCCCTACAGGCCATTATCCTCTCAGCAGCTGCAGGGACGCTTTAAAACTGAGGTCAGATCCTGTAAGTCCCCTGCTTTCAACACACCAGTGACTCCCCACAGCTCTCAGGAAGAAAGCCACACCCTCCACGTGGGTAAGCCAGCCCTGTCGGGGCCGGAGAAGCAGCGAGCCACGTGGCCCCGCACAACAGACTCCATTCCTGCCTCACAGCTCAGCAGCTCTAGTCACAGGGCCTTTGCATGCCCCGGGGTGGCCCAGTTAACTCTCCTTTCAGAGCCCAGGTCATGCTTTCCCAGGTCCCCAGGGGGGCGGGGGCCCCCTCCCCCTCCCCCCTCCCCTCTCCCCTCTCTCCTCACTGCCACACACATGACAGAGTTATGCACTTGCTGCACTCAGTGTCCTCCAAACACAGTACGTGCAGCCATGCCTCTGAGCCTTCGCACAAGCTGTGCCTTCTGCCTGACACAAACTCCTCTTCATCCGTGAAGGCCCCAGTTCAAACCACCTCCCTTCCAGGAAGTCTTCCCTAACCACCCTCTCCTCCTTGCCCCTCAGAATTGCTATTCCCTCATCCGGGCTCCCCCAGCCCCTCTTCGCTTCTCTGGCCCAAGGCCTCACCCTCCTGCCTCCAGAAACTCCCTCTGGGGTCGTCATGGCACCTGCCACCACACAAAGGCAAGAAACACAGCTACGCGTGCTTTGCCAGATAAGGAGAGGCCCGTGCTCGTGCGTGCCCTAAACTCACCCAGACCCACAGTCACACCTGGACATAGACAGCTCCCTCAACCCTGGTGGCCCATCTCCCACCAGGCCCCTGGCATGGGCCCTGCCCCCCACCGGAACCCAGGCCCTTCCAGGACAAAGGGACCACCAAGGCCAAGGACACCCAGATGTGCACACTCCTGGACCTGAGAGCAGCGCAGGCTGCACCTTCACACCTGTGCACGCACCTGAGCAGGGCTCCAGCAGCAGCTGCTCCGGGGAGTCCCCAGCAGGACTCCCCACATGCTTGGGCTTCACCAGCCGCAGCTGGTCAAGGGCTCGCTTCT